GAGGTCTTCTCCTTTGTCTCTCTGATGTCTCTTTGCTGAGCTAGGGTTCTGGAAGCTCTTGTCGCAGGGGAACTGATCGCGATTAATCCCGCCTCCAACTCTGGCAAATTCCTTCTCCGCAGGTGAATTAGTCTTTGCATCAAGTAAGAACTGATAGTTATCTGTTGAGGTTAATGTTCTAATTCTTACTTTGTTGTGATGCTTTGGTGTGACTTTTTGTTGTGGTTTTTCTGCATAACAAAGGTTTAATGGAAAATGAGTTCGAGGAGGTCGTTTGAGTGCTTCAGCAGGCACCGTAGAAATCAGGTTAGGGATTTTGAGTTTTCTAAAATCTAACTTCTTCGTTCTTTGCTCTAGTTGGCCAGTCTTTGGTGTTAGTTCTTGATTGCAGCACTAGGTGAACATGATTATTGATACTTGGAGCTTTCAATTATGGCAGTGGTGAAACCGACTAAGATTGAGGTCACATCTGCACGAAGAAGCCATGAAGTTGACTCAAGCATTTTCAAGCCTCCTGCTTGCTGTGAGATGAATGTGGCTCCAACTAAATGAGATGAAACTTCTTGTGCTTCCTTCAAAAGCCGTGACATTGAGTACGTGAACAATAATGACTTGCATGTGATTGATTCTATCAACAAGAAGGCATTGAACAAGCTCTATATTACTGATAATGAACTAGCAGCAGGTGAATTAGTTTGACAAAACCTCAATTTGTCCAGTCATCTGTCTTTTTCTGGGTTGCTGAAGATGATCAACCACGTTGATGCTATACATGGCTCTTCTAAATTGAGTTTTGAATTGGAGTGCTTGCAGTGTGTCAGAGATGGATTCAGTGTCATTGATATGGATACAGATGACAAGGTTATAAACCTGGATACCAATTTTGAGGATCCTCAGCTTTGTGCAATTATTGCTTCTGATATTTACAAGAACTTGCGAGCTTGTGAGGTTTGTTCGAGTCCCTAATATGTATATGAATTAAACTGTAACTTGTTGTGGACTTTGTAGTGGGTTTAACCTCTAACATTGTTACGGTACTTATCATTTTTGTGGCTGCAGGTTTAGAAATGACTAGCAACAGATTTCGTGGAAAAAAACTCAGAAGGATATAAATGCCAGTATATGTGCTATAAAGATAGATTGGTTCGTGGAGGTTGCAGAAAAGTAGACTTGTACTAGATACCTTGTATCTGTCCGTTAAATACATTGATCGATATCTCTCCGGCAATGTGATGAACAAGCAAAGTTTGCAATTGCTTGGTGTTGCCTCCATGATGATTACTGTATAAGTAACAAGTTTCCAGGTTTCTTGTTGAGTGACATTCCTTTACTGGTAACTTGCATCCATCCATTGCACTGCCTACTGCAGTTCTGCTTTTTCTTGGCTTCTGTGTGCTGACTTCTTGTTATCGTTGCATGGCCCTTGTTATGAAGACGATTTGTGAGAGCTGCTCAAGTAATCGATGAGGTCCCATCGATGCAGTTCGAATGCTTCTTAGTAAATTACATCAGTGAACTATCTCTGCTGGAGTACAACATGCTTTGCTACCCTCCATCAGTTGTTGCAGCTTCTGCCATTTTCTTGACCATGGGTAGGTCATAGATGATGAAAGCATATATTACTAAGTTACTAAGGTAGTAATGTACAAAATTCACATAATATTTTCTCTGTTTCTAAGTCGTGCATATGATAAATAAATTCATGTTTAATTCGTCCAAGAGATTGGAAATTCTCTCTGTCAATTTTGTTTCCAGTATATACATTGTTAGCTTTTCTGCTTTTGTTCTCGCCTGATCTAATTGTATTATTGTCTTTTTCTTTGGTTTAATTTTTCTTCTTATCAGGATAGCTGAACTCATGAGCACACTCCATACAGGTCTGCCACTACTTTACCTACTAAGACCTAAATTGATTTGATTGGTTTCATGGGATGATTTCTGTGACACTACTATACTGCCATAGTAAATAGATTCGTGCACGTAACCACTATCGTTGGTAATGTTTCGTTCATAGTTCCCCTGCTTTGTTGATATATGCAGAATGCTAAACTACCGTGTCTACAATTGGTGTCCTTTGTTTTTACTTGATTTTCATTCGTTTTCTTATTCGGGTGGTATTGATTACTGAAGCTACTTTATGCATGCCAGTTCTGTTTAGTCTTCGTGTAGAATTTGGTTTAAATTTGATGATGGTAATTGATGATAGAACGTTGTGTCTAGATTACTTCAATTAGTTGGAATGTTCTCGGAAGTAGATTTAGAGAATCTCATGATACCATAGATAAACTTTATTAGTTCAAGTGTTTTGATTTTGCTCTCATAAAGCTAGTTATGCGAATTCTTCGACTCCTAGGATGGTGGAATATAGCTATTTTGTTGTCCATGTTGCAGCGAAGAGGTTTCAAAGTGAACCTGCAATGCCTTCTGCAATTTTACTTACCATCACACTGCACCCTGAGCTTCATTAGCTACAGTTCAACCTGATTTTGATTTCGCTGAACTCCCTCAGTTAGTTAAGTTTTAGTTACCCTTTTCCTCCCTCCCCTGTTATACCATTTACTTCCCTCGTTGTTGCAGGGGAATCTTTTTATTTTATTTTATGGCACCATGCTAGCACCTAATTACTTTCCTATTTTCATGCTAGCACATCGTTACTATTTGTCTTATTTTCCTATTTTCAATCTTTGTTAATGAACTGTCACCTAATTACTTTTATATTTTATACTTTGAAATGCTGCAGAAGTGAATGATGAATCTGGGAATCCAATGTGGAAGAAGTGAGCTGAAAGCTGGAAGAACACAAGAACAAGTGAACAGTTGTAGAATTATGGATTGGGTTATGAAGGTATCTAATATCTATGTGAAATTAGACACTTAGAGATTGTTCTTTTTGAGATGTTCTGTTACTGCTAATCCTCACTCTATGTTATATATATGAGATGCAAAATTATATTTGTATGGAATAATTGTTTCTACCGTTTTTATCTATTAATTAGCTCAAGTTTGAACAGGACACATTTTCAATACCATTGTGCACCGAAACAATACTGGGCGTATAAAATAATTAATTGGTTAGGATATGAACTTTAAGACCAAATTTGGTGGTTGTGATAAATGTTGGCAACCAAAAATATTAGTCATTTTAACGGTTTTTAATGGTTGGTGTATGTACATTTCATGACCAAATTTTATAGTTGCCTAACTCTTTAATATGACAAAATTGGTTGACATATATGTTTTTCACGACCAAATTTTATGGTTGTGTTAAACTTTCATTACCATGAAAATGGTCGTCTTTAATGATTTAATTGGTCGGCGTATGTATCTTTCATGACCATAATTGTTCGTTGTGTATATACGTTCACTACCAAAAGGATTGGTAACTAAAAATAAAATTGGTAACTAAAAGTAAAAATTGTAACCATATATTCCAGATTTTTACCATTGATAATATTGGTTGCAATAGCCATTCTATCCGCTACCAATCTCCTTTTTGGTCACCATAGGAATTGGTAACGCGCCTATAGCGACCATTTCTGCTACCAAAATTATTTGGTCGTAGAAAAGTATCTGCAACCAATTTTGCACTTTCAGCGACAAATTATAGTGGTCGCAGTTTTTCTTGTAGTGAATCACTCATCCAAATGCGTCGTGTAAATAACCATTGTATTTGTTGGCAACTTGGCATGCATTCTCTCTCTGGTTTGTGAACCTTTTCGCCTTTTTTTTTTTTTTTTTTTTTTTTTTTTGACGATGCACACATAGTTGCTCGTTGGCGTGAAATATGGGGGAGGCATTTGAATGTGAAAAGAAAACACACAGGGGAAGCCGGGAAGGGATAGAGTGAGGACAGAAGAAAGCAGTCAAAAAGTGCCCCTTGCCTGTCTGAATTTTGGGGAATTCAAGTACCGTTACATTACATGCATGAAATTTGCTGTGGTGTCCTACAGTTTAAGGGCACACCCTTATGTATTACTATCTGTAGCCTGCCCTCGATCCATTTGTCCTCTGGATTATATGCACACCTTTGCTTTGTCCTCCCCACCGCCATTTGTCAGCTCTCGCCGTTGCATGCAACAAATAGACTAGCTAGCTACTTACGCCATTCTTATCCGGCTCGAAGCTCTGGTGGGTGAAGAAAAGACGCGACTGACCATGGAAGCAAATAAATGGGCTGGGGTTAATTAAAGAGATCCATTAAATGTGTTATTATTTTTAATGGATAGGCGTTGTAATTAATTAGGTGAAAGGAAATAATCAGATTCATTAAATGTTCACGGAGATGTGACAACAAATGGCCACCATGCAACATCAGAAGAAATATTCTAATTGCTTTTTTGACGGGTTGTTTGAACGAGTTATTTTGATTCAAATGATTCATTCTTAATTATCTGAGTCAAAACAATTCATTTGGTAATGAGAATATTCAATATGGTAATCAGGGACAAACTTAGATAGTAAGGAGGTGTGTTGGCGCCTTAAAATTTTATGAGAGACCTAACTATATTTCGTCGGTATAAAAAATTTGAATTATGGACTTCCGACACACCTCCAATAATCATAACTGACATACATTTGATACATTCATTACGTTACAAGAAATTTAAATTTATTGAATAAAATAATTCATTTTTAGTTATTTGAGTCAAAACAATTCGTTTGATGTTGAAAATATCCAATGTGATAATTTTATTGTTAGTAAATAATTCAAAACGAGTTAATTGATATAACACTTCTTATTTGAAACAACTCATCTTATTAATTATTTTTCTTTCCAATTTATTAGAAAATAACATAATCAAATAACTCGTATGAATTCTCTAACAAAATGAAATAATCTAACTTTAATAAAATCGAAATAACACATTATATTGTATCATTTGATCACAATATATCAATCACATATATATAAAATAATTCATCCAAACCACCCGTATCTTTTTTTTTTTTATCGCCAAAGTCTAATGCATATATACATTTAAGATGACTTTGACTACATTTCCTATTATTGCCCATCATCATATATATATATAGATTTAATGTTATGGAAACAATATCTACAAGAGAAAAAGGTTATGAAAGCAATATAAAAACAAAGAGAGAAGAAAGAACCCTGCAGGTGGATATTGGAAACAAAATCTAAAACACAATCTCACAATAAAAACAAACAAAACAATAATTTGCACTTTAAAAGGGCCACAAAACACTTCACTAACCCACACGAGTCATTTTCTCCCCCACCGAGCTTCTTCTTTCCCCTCTCACTCTCATCTCATGGCCTCCACTCCTCCAAATGACGATGATCACACCACCACTACCCTCCACTCCCGCCGCCAGCAAGCACTTCCAAAGCCGCCGACCGCCGCCGCCTGGTACATGCCCCTCCTCGTGACAAACTACATCCTCCTCTTGGTCGGCTCCATCTCCTCCACCTTGCTCTCCCGCTACTACTTCATCCACAAGGGCCGCAGCCGCTGGGTCTCCACGTGGGTCCAGACCGCCGGCTTCCCTCTCCTCCTCCCGCCCATCTACCTCCCTTACTACCTCTTCCGCTCCACTCCGCGCCGCCCCTTTTCCCATTTTACCCTCCCCATCCTCCTCCTCTCCCTCTTAGTGGGCCTACTGTTGGGCCTCAACAACCTCCTCTTCTCCTGGGGGAACTCCTACCTCCCCGTCTCAACTTCCTCCCTCCTCCTCTCCTCCCAGCTCCTATTCACCCTCATCCTCTCCGTCTTAATCGTCAAACAGAAGCTCACCTTCCAGAATCTCAACTGCGTCATCCTCCTCACCCTCAGCTCCATCCTCCTTGGGCTCGGCTCCTCCGATGATAGGCCCACTGGGCTCACCCGCTCCAACTATTTTGTCGGCTTCTTTTGCACCATCGGTGCAGGCCTCCTCTTCGCCCTCTACCTCCCCGTTATGGAGCGCATTTACAGGTCTAATTTCTTTTAATTAAGAGATTGATTCGAATTTCTGAATCCTCACAAAAATATTTTTTATTTTTGCCTTTATGTATATATCTATCTATTAAAGAAAAAGAGAGAAGTAGAACAAATATATATATGATGATTGATGTGTCAATTTTATGTGACACATTACATGCAGGCGGGTGGACAGCTACTTGATGGTGATGGAAATGCAGCTGGTGATGGAGGCGGTGGCGACGTTGCTGGCGGTGGTGGGGATGGTGGCTTCCGGCGGCGGGGTGGAGGAGATGAGGAGGGAGAGCGAGGAGGTGTTCGACAAAGGGGCGAGGGCGTATTGGGGGACGGTGATCGGGAACGCGGCCACGTGGCAGCTCTGCTTCATGGGGACGGCGGGGATGGTGTATCTGACGTCCTCGCTGACGGGAGGGATATGCATGACGGCGCTGCTGGCTATGAACGTGCTGGGCGGGGTGGTGGCGTACGGGGAGGAGTTCGGCGGGGTGAAGGCGGTGTCAACGGTGTTGTGCGTTTGGGGGTTTTGTTCCTATGTGTATGGGATGTATGTTAAGATGAAAAGAGGGATTAATAATGATAACGTTACTAGTGCTGGAGAAGAAGATGGTGGTGATAATGGCAACGGCGGTGGTGGTAAAATTCAGGTGACGGAGATGGGTCGGGGAGATGCAGTAGCCAACAATGTCTGATCTGATGTGGAAGAGACTGATGATATCTGTCTATTTCATTTTTCTTTTCTTCCTTTTCGGCCTTAACTTGTTGTTTTGCTACTTTTGGGTTCAAGGGTGGAGTCTGTGGGGTTAGTTAGACGGGATTGTTCATCTTATGCTTCGAATTTTGATTACTCTAAGCTGTTATATTATCATAATTATAGGGTGGGAGAGAGACCTCTCGGGAACAAAATAGATAGGTAGATAGATATATATGAATTGCATTATAAGAAGGTTTTGTTCAATTGGCTTAATTAGAGTTGGTATGGAATCAATTTGCAACTACAGTTCTGATATATATATAAGGAGGATGATGTGGCGTGTACGTGCCATCGTTGTCCTTCTATTTTAGATTGAGACTATATATATATATTTTTTTATGAATGTGCGCATTGCTTGTATTTATAGAAAAGCAAAGGTGGGAAATTTATAAGAAGTGAGTTGGGGAGAATTTCCCAGGTTCACAGTAAAAAAAAGTTGTGGAGATATATTTTTTTTTTATGGATGATGAGACCAAATATTATTATTAAGGGGTCGTTTGGATGGATCAATCCAGAAATGAGTCAATTTGATCAATTGTCTCGTTTTATAAACGAGTCAATTCGAATTATCTGCCCCCACCCCAGGTAATTGAAATTGACTCAAAACAGATCAATTCAAAATACCTCAGACAGATTGATCCATCCAAATTTTTTGCTGGCAAACGAGGCAATTTGGTACAATTGTCTCAAAACGAGACAATTATGTCAAATTGATCCGTTATAATTCGTCATCCAAACGACCCCTAAAAGAAAAGAGGATCCAGGGACACTAAATGGAAGAAAAAACTCACACAAATATGGGACAAACAAGAAAAAAATGAAAAAAGAAAGTAGAAGATGACAACAGGCTACAAAAATGGAGAAAAACAAATACAAACAAAAAAGTCAAAACTAACTTACCTCAAAAGTCAAGAAAAAAGCACCAAAAAATGAAAGAGGAAAAAGAAGAAGAAAAAGAAAGAAAATATTTGATAAAACGACGACAGATATTTACTCACCCTGTTCCAATCCTCAACCACTGCTGAAAATAGTCATCAGAGATAAGTCCAAAAGCCCGCAGCCACCTGCCGACCATCTGAACAATCTTACTGCAAACCTCATACTATGAAGCTTCCAAATCGCGAAAAATTCTGTTGTTTCGCTCGTTCCAAATGGACCAAAACACCGCATGTGGTAAGAACTTGACACAATCCTTGAGTTTTGGATCACACCACAATCTTCTCCAAGCCGGGAGAAAACAATTGATATTAGTTGGAAACGGACCGTGAACCTAAAATATCTTTGTAAATTTGGCCCAAATTGTCGTCGAAAAGGAGCATGAGAATAAGAGATGTGAGACGGACTCCTCTTGGGATTTTCATAGAGAACACCAGTTGGTAAGAATCATGCCTCTCTTCCTCAAGTTGTCGATGGTAGAGATTTTCGAGAGAGAAGCCATCCAGACGAAAAGTTGGGAAGAATTGAATCTTAAATTTTTAGATTTTGAATACTCATTTAATTCCTTAGATCTTTGAACAATAATTTCGAACTGTCCATTTTTTTTTATAACTATGATTGTTAAGAAAATAATTTTTTAACCAAATGATATGTTTATCCTTATATACAAGTATCATAGTGGCTGGAACAATATTGTGTATCTGTTTGTAATGATAGTTGGTGGGATAAATAAAAAAAAGGGTAAGGGATAGAGTACAAGAAACAAAATCTCACAAAGCAAAAGCTATAAAATCTTTCTGATTATGAGAAATTGATCTTTATTTTTTTAGAGATTTAAAATCTTTAAAGCTAATATCAATGTTACAAAAAGCAACAAAAGAAACTTTCTTTTCTAAGTCTATGAATTCGGCGAAATCCATTAGCTAGTATGAAAAGTTACCAGCTCAACTTAAGAGGTTGGAAAAAATGAAAGATAATAGTTCAAAGAACATAAAGTAAAGTTTTATATTTTGAGTTACCGGGACAAGTCCGCGAGGTAGAGAAGATTTGTTAATTTTTTTATTTACATTATTGGTCCTGGAGAGAATAGGCCATTCAATAATAAGATTCCTAGAGTGCTATGATTTTGAACCTTACAAGTTTATAGAATAGGCCATTCAATAACAAGATTCATAGAGTGCTTTGATTTTGAACCTTGTAGATTAATACCATTATCATTTCAAGTACATTTGAATTGGTGATAATATTTGCTAAACACTAATATGGTTGCCATGACAACAAGGGCGAAATTAAATTGTATTTTACTAAAAAGATAATCTATGATTTCCAATTATATGATAGCAAAAGCTTGATATAGTGTCAGATATGTATATCAATAAATCAAACTATAGTATAAATTAGGTTTAGCAATTAACAATGCTGCGTGAAACTTTACATACCCGACTTGTCGCATAGTAGAAAAGGCGAGTCTCCTTTTGGTCCTTTTTCTATATCGCGGGGAAAGGTAATTTTAAAGTAATTAATTATGTTTATTGGTGAATGGAAATCCTTTTTGTTTTTTAATGAAGCAATTGGTAGATGCTAAGTAAGCTAACCCAATGACGATGATGAATGGGAGGCAAAATAAATGGAGTTTGATTATGTTTGTCTCCCTTGGCTAATCTGCTTTTATTATTAACAAAAATCAAAACATCCTTGATCAATTATTCCTATTTACTTTATTGTTTATCATTTTGTCTCCATCTTTCGTTCTAACACTATGGGTGCATTCATGAATGGAAGCGAACAATGGGTGTGTTCCATTAAACAAATTATGGGTGTGCGTTAGTGGTAGAAAATTGTGTGTGGATGATATGAGGTTTGATTTCTTTTATGGAAGTGATTGTTTATAATTTTGTAAATAATATTCGAATAAGAGTGTTTGATGATGATGATGCAAAGTGACACCACCACTTGATCAAATTACTGCAACCCCGCAAGTCTCTCGCCATGCAGCTCCAAAGGGGATTTCGACTGGGCCATTTCCATAACATGACGAGATTGGTATGAACTCACAAACCACGAAGCAGGAAACCCGCCAACAAAAGGAAGCAAGTTTACTTTCAGTTTAGAGTAATCTGAAGACAAAGGGTAACCCTGGAATGCATACGCGGAAGAGTGGGGAAGATCATCGAGTCCACGCTACATAGAAAGAGCCATAAGGGGCATAATAAACATGTTGATGGTGCAGGGAACCTATCCTCTTTGAATTCTTTGACAAGTTAGGGTCCAAACTCCTCAATTGGTTAATAGTTAAGGGTTAGAGCGCCCTCTGCGCTCTATTTCTCAAACAAAAAATAATAATAAAAGCCCTCAATCATTCATTTGGATATTTTCACTATTTTGTAGATTAAATTCTATAGGATCCTCAATAATTAGAGATCTTGTAGTTCCATGGTGGATGAAGAGAAAACTCGGAGGAACTTGGAAGTTAAAGAGAAATACGCAATCAACTTATTAACAAGAGCTGAGTTACTTTACTAACTCTTGGAGTGATTAGCACCTTCTAAAGTCTTAATTCTCATAAATGGTAAAAAAGAAAAAATGCAATATAAGTCGTGATTTGATGGAATAAGCAGCCACAGGCACGCGCAAGTTAAGAATTAGTGGAAAGTGGATCCTCCTTTAAATTCCATGGGCAGTGTAATTAGCATTAGTTAGTCAAATTTTTTTTAAAACAGATAATCATATATATATAAAAAAAAAGTTACATAGTGGAATTTAACCATGCATGAAAATCAAAGAAGCAACTCGCAGACGGGTACAAAAGAAGGGTTTTCTAGCCACCAAATAAGCTACCCTATTACTACGCCGACCTACAAACCGCATACTGGAGCCAGTAGAAAGTGATAAGCATTGCATAACTTCTTCCAGAAGGGCTCCAATCCTACTATCTCTGATATCAAACTGGCGGAGCTTGTCAATAAATACCCTAGCATCCCCTTCAAATCGCATCCCGGTAAACCCAGCCGCTAGACACCAAAGAATAGCTTCCCGGAGAGAAAGCACATCCGCAACCAACAGATCATCAATCCCAGCGAATTGGAAACCTCTAGCCAGGAGAACCTCCCTGGCCTGATTCATCACCACCATTCCTCCCGCCGCGTGGGACGCGTGCTTGGCAGCTAGGGCTGGCTATTTGGTCCCGGACTGTTTGGTTTTACCCTAAACCGGACCGTATAACCCGGACCGGGACCGGACTGGGACCGGATAGCAAACAATGCAATCTCATATTCGGGCTTAGATTTGAGGTAAAAAAACCCGGATAAGAGACCCCCAACACCTAAAATCAAGATAAAATTGGGACCGGACCGGGTCAAGACCGGACTGTATCCAATCCAATCTTTGGTCCTTATATTCCCGAAAAGACCGGACTGGAACCGGATCAATTTGGTCCAATTTAACCGGACCGGACCGTATAGCCACTCCTATTGGCAGCCCCATCCCACTTTCAAACAATAGGGCAAGGGGTGTCATCAACCATAGGTTGCGCAGCTGGGGCCGGGACACTCTGAACCCTATCAAGAGGCAAATTGATCCATTCCTGATATTTTGGTCCGAACTATGACCATATAATCAATTTTGGCCCGTGGTTTCAGAAATTAGCATCCTGGCCTCAACTATGCAACATATAGACTCAATTGGCCCGACACATGGTTTGACCGTCAATTTGGACGTTCAACACCATTAACCGTTAGTCAACACGCCATGTCATTGTCTCGTCAACCTAAAAATTATTAAAAAATTCAAATTATTTTTCTAATTTCTATTATTTATCATTTGGCCCGACACATGGTTTGACTGTCAATTTGGACAGTCAACACCGTTGACCGTTAGTCACCACGCCATGTCATTGCCTCGTCAGCCTAAAAATCATTAAAAAAATTCAAATTATTTTTCTAATTTATATTATTTATCATTATCAAATTAACCAAAAAATAAAATTATAAAATAAAATTTTATTTTTTAAATTTTCGAAAATGATAAATTTTATGAATTAACCAAAATTTATCAATTTTTTTGGTTAATTTGAAAATGGTAAATAATAGAAATTAGAAAATAATTTGAATTTGAATTTTTTAATGATTTTTAGAGTGACAAGGCAATGATGTAGAGTGTTGACTGTCCAAATTGACGGTCAAACCATGTGTCGGGCCAATTGAGTCTATATGTTGCATATTTGAGGTCAGGATGTTAATTTCTGAAACCACGAGCTAAAGTTGATTTTATGATCATAGTTCGGGCCGAAATAAGGTATTAACCCTTCTTTTCA